AGTATATGTGAGCTTGGGTCACCCTAAACTGGAGATTTTTCTTTCACACTTGTGCCCTAAGAGACATGTTGACATGTCTAACAGTACTCAAAACAAGGACCTCCCGCAAATAGTGATTTTTCCTTTGCCATTCAGTCCTGCCTTGAGAAATTTCAAAGACTCCGTTATGAAGAAAGCTTTTAAGAACTCTGGAAATCCCGTTGCTTTTGAAAGTGCTAATGTATGTGGTGTGGTGTGCTGGCTGAAGCAGCAGGCTTCAGACTGCTTTATCTCTTGTCTGTGGGTTTAGCTTTGTGAATGAGAAATTCAGAGGCAACTGTATAATTTTAAATTCAGATTGCCACAAATAAAGAGATGCATCTCTACCCAACGCAGTGGTTTTCACTATTTTAATGGAAATATGTTGGAAGTGAGGGAACCTTCCCCTGAGGAGAAAGTGATGAGAGACCAAAAGAGAGACATTTTTATCTTTGAGATAAAAGGCGTGTTTTCTAAGGTTGTTTCTTTTATTATAACTTTTCGCCCCACCTGCTACTGGGCCACCATGCAAATGTATCATTCCAGGAACTGCTTCGTTATCCTTTTTGTGCCTAAGATTTCCTGGTGCAGGAGACAGAGAGCGAACGGTCTTGTCTTGTTTACAACTTACTTAAGTGAGATTCTCACCTTTCACAGAGCCTTAAAAAATAAGGATCAGGTGCTTACAGGGATCTGTTCACCTCTGTGGTCCAAACATCATGCTACCTTTTGCCTAAAATCAACAAAAGCAAGATACTCTCATGTAGCTGCTTCTGCGGATGGCAGTGTTGCCAATTTAATCCTTTTGGATGAATCCAGATAAAATGCAAAAGGGCTCTTTAAGTGATGTTGATTAGGGTCTGGTAAATGGTGGTGGTTGTTGTCATTAAAAAAAAAAATCTTTTCTGACACGAACACTCATGCTTACAAAGACTCGTTTGTTATCGATGCTGTTTTAATAATATTGGATATAAGTACGGATTTAGCAGTAGGGGATGTTGACTGAAGGGACAAATCTCTGGTAGGCACTTGCCTTATGACACAGAAGCAGAGATGTTGGAATTCAAAACCGTTTTTTTTTTTTTTTTTTGCATTCCTGCTATACCATAGAACAAAGATCCAAATTATTGGAAACAAAATCAAACTGGCATTGATCTGGTTTCCCCACTAAACACCTTCATGAAAGACGTTTACTGTATTTTTTCTTCCTACATATTTTAAGATGCTGCTTCCAGTATTTCTCCCCTCCCCCCAATATTTATTATTCTTCCAATATTATTGTCCTACAAACCCTTCAGGCTAGGTGGGGACATAGGGATGGAGAATACACTGGAGGTGTAAATAACTGAGTTGATGGATGTCCACAGGGCCTGTTAGGTAAAAAATATTCTCTGGAGGACCATGGAATGAGCATCTTTCCGGAATATGTGCTGGTGAGGTGGAAAACCTATGACATTGCAGAAACGGTCCCTTCAGGAGAAAGACTCTAAATTTAAATCATAAGACCTTTGCTTCTCTTCTGGCCCTCTAAGATACTGACCCGAGGAACCACCTCTCTATTAAGGGTCCTAAGAAAAAAACTCTTGGAGGATCACGGCTTTCCTTTTGCACTAAGTCTTCTCCTGATTCCATCCTCCTTTTTCCGAAGAATCCTGTGAACCTGCATTTCTCAGACAAGTGGATCACTTTTATGCATAACATAAGGCTAACCTTTCTTCTATAGGCAAGTATTGATATTCCTAAGCACACATAGAAATGTAGGGTGACTCCATGCTACTCTGGAGTTTGCTTTCTTTCCAGCTGTGCCCAACACATAGCACAAATGACCTCTATGTTGGGGTCGGCAACCTTTTCTGGAAAGGTCCAAATTGTATTTTATGCTTTGCAGGCCATGAGGTCTCTGGCACAGTTACCCAACCTTGTTGTTATAGAATGAAATCAGCCACAGACAACATGGAAATGAATGGATGTGTCTGTGTTACAAGAAAACTTTATTTACAAAGACTGGTGATGAGCCAGGTTTGGTCTAGGGACCACAGTTTGCTGACCCCCTGCTCTAGAGTTAAACTTTAAGCAATCTTTGGTCTATGGTTGCTGGATATACAATGAAAATCATCCAAAGGAAACTGACCTAAAGGGAGTTAAAGCCAATTCAAGTTTATAAGGTCTATCCCTTGGGTAAAGGAACAATTAGAAAGCCTCATACCAAGTTTCTACCTACAGAGATGCCACCATAAGGGCTTTTGAAAGCCTTTGTCATAGGCTAGCAGTTTCTTAAGACTGAACTTTTATGACTTATTGAACAGATAACAAATAGAACTGAGTGCTAAACATATTTGGAGATCACTTTTTAATTTTTAAAAATCTTCTGAAGACTATTAGCATACTAGAACTTCCAGAATATTGATTCACTTGAACTCTTTCTTATGCCACCTACTGTTTAATACTGGAGTGTGATTGTCTAGAAGATATTATATATAGAGATTAGAAAGAACCTCACTTTTAAGTTTATTGGATTTTAATGTAAAAGATATTTTTTTTTTCCCCCAGAATTAAAACTTTCTCTCATGACCATGGACAAATATTCTAGTTGGAGGAAGTTGGGAGAACAAAAGGTATTGAGGAACTTTGAGTGCATTTTACTGACTTCTGTAGTCTGAACTGAAATACATAATTTAGTCCATGCCAAGTTTCCTGCCTATTACCTGGTATATTGTAGTCACTTAATACAAATGAAAATCAGAATTTTTTTTATCATGTCTGTTCCCCATAGGTGCTTGATTTCTATTCTCGGCTTGCTATTATTATTTTTATCCTTTTTGTGATCTGATTACCTTTAGGATTAACATCTGCAAGTGGGATCACATCATTCTTTTTTATTGGCATAAAATCCCCAAGGTGCTGATCTCAGACTTGCATATGATGATTAGAACAAAATCAGAGGAAAGAGGTTCAGGGAACCTTTTGTTTTCTTGTCATCCATAGATTATGTACTTGAGATGGCAAAATGCAAAGATGGTCTGTCTGCTTAAAAACATTTTGTGTTAAGGTATTTAGCCATGGAGGGCCTCATAGCTACTACTGTTTGTCTCAGTGACATGGGGTAGATGTTCCTCGTAGCCAAGGGGGGGCCTCTCCTATTTGGCAAAACACCATACGTAGTACCTGCAGATTCTGGTAGTATGATCCTACAGGATATAAATAATACCAAACCAGAGCAACTTGATACCTTCTTAGGGTTTTCCTTTTTAGACTTTACTGCTACAAACTAAGTAGTTATGTCCTTGAACAACTCAATTCTTCTACATGGGATACTGAGGAGGAGTGACTGGAGGGAGTATGGGGTCTGGAAGCCAGCAGGGCCGCTGGTCAGCCTAGGAAACCTCCCCCTCTCTGGCCCCCCCCTCCTAAGTGACTAAGTGACACACAGCTTGCTTTCATATCCTCTGTAGGCAAACCTCAGCCTGATGCTTGAGTGTCCTCTCAAAAATATCAAATCTCTTATTCATTTCCTATGACAAATCTTCCCCCACTTGTGAAGAAAAATTAAAACCTTGTTGAAGAAAACACAAATGCCATTCAGGCCTACAAATACGACCTCATTTAGGGTTGTGGGGCCGCTGCTTGCCCAATGGTGTCTGGGACTGTCTAAGCTGGTTACACCTCCATTTGGACTCCTGAGAGTCCACTTCTGTCAGCCACTTGGTTTGTCTACTAGCTTTTAAGAGGCCCACTCATGACTAAACCATTACCCTCCAATCACCCAAAATAAACTACAGTTGTAACAAGATAAATAGGATGTGCTTCTCCTTGCTGAGTGCATTGACTTAAGGCATAGGCACATTTCCCCCTCTTTGAACAGAGACGGTGTAATCCCCTGTCCCAGCACAAGAGCTGGCCAGGGTGACCCTGGAGCACGAGGATGAAGGTGGAAAGATGAGAGGTAGCTGATGGCGGGAACGAGGGAGCTGCTTCCACATATCAAGTAGTGGTGCTGCCGGGCCACTGGAGCACAGCGAGTCTGAGAAATACACGTGGCTCAATTTATATTAATTTCCAGTGACCATTTCCAGGGGCATGTATTACACATCTGTGATTCTTGGGTCACCCCTCTTGGAGAAAACATAATGGTGGATTTAGGAATAGGAATATCCCATATTTTTATATATATATATATATATATATAAAGATGGAAGCCAGAGTTTGTGCATGCCTTTAGAAATAAAAGGCGAGTCTCTAAATTACCTACCAATCCCAAGATACATAGAAAAATTAATTAGGTTTTCTATGCTCCTCTTAATTAGGTGTCTATCCCTAAATGGCTTCTCTTCAGGTGGGGGTTCCTCTCTTGAGGATTGATGGACTGGATTTTGACTGACCTGATCATTTGGGGCTGGAGTCTGCTGGATAAAGTCAGAAGTGAGGATGAGACCGATTCTGAGCCATTTTTTCCTTTAAACAGAGAAACATCACCCATTTATTCTTTGCCTGTCAGGCCACCGAATAGCTTCCAGCCAACTGAGGAGCAGCTGTTACCCCACTTTGTGCTGATTTACAACTCCTATTTTGACTATGGGATAATAGGTGATTTTTGAAGGAAGATAGCAGGAGTTAGGTGAGCAGTTCAAACTTTGCTGAACCTCATCCCCCACATTCATCCAACTACAAAAGCCCCAGTACATTTGGCTATGAAGGCAGAACAGCCATTTTGTGTTCCTACAGCTGACTTCTATGGCACTGCCCCATCCCTCACTTGAAGAGGGGAGAGTGGGCCAGCCTTCCTAAAGCTAAAAATGGAAACGAAATGTCTATTTCAACATGAGGTCTCAGTGCTTGAGCATGACTTGGAGATTCCCGCCATCACTGCCCTGTAATGACACTAAAGGGGAAGATAACGTGGCTCCTCAAACATATCGGTGAATATTCGGTAAGCGTCCAATACACTGCGTGATTTTTGAAGGGTTTGGGGAATATTGGGCTTGAATCAGTATTTTGATCTTATCATGTAGGTGGTGGGGTTGACATGGAAATGATGGTGGATATCACAGGGTCACCCATGGTTCCTTTTGTACTGAAACCTCATTTTATACAGAGGATATATATATTTATTTATATATACTTATATATATTTATATCCACCCACACGCATACACACACACATACACACACACATGCGCGCGCACACACACACGCATATGCGCGCGCGTGCACACACACATGGTCTTTGATAGGCTTTCTGTGTTCTAGTAAAAATAGCTGGCAGCCAGTATCTAAAGACAAAAACGGCCTTTATGCTGCCGACAATGTCCACTATGGATGGTCTCTCAAAGGCAGACACTTGTGTTTATCTGACAAGTGGAACCAGTTCCTGCCTGGGACAGGAATAATCTCCCATTGGCGCAGACGCAGATCTCGAACACCTTCTGCCTCGTTCCTGTAGGCGTGTAGGATCCGTGAGGCAGTCTAGGTAGTTGGATTTTCGCAGCATCTAACTTAATCTAAAGAGAGCGAATAGGAAGGAAAGAGTAGTTAGAAGCTGCCATTTATTCTTTTGACATTCAGAGACAGGAGATGAATGAAATGAGCACCTACTATGTGTTGAGTATTCTAGGCACTGAGAACTCAGAGATGAACATGACAGATAAAGTCTCTACCCTCGTAGAAGCTTATATTCTACCAAGACAGTGTCACGCTGGTCTATATTAGCAAAAGTGTGCAAAGGTATATCAAGTAGAATATGAATTGAGTCCCAGAGTGAAATGCATTTGGAAATGCTCTTAACCATTTCTTTACTATGGGCCCTCAGACCCTCAGCTAGGTCTGTGTGTATGGGAAGACTTTAAGAATATGCGGTACTTTCAAATGACTGTTAAGATTATAATCAATTCCTCCAGAGGCTGGATTCTGAGAGCTATAATCTGCATAGGTAATGTAGTCACTATTTCTAAATGTGTGTGATTTGGAGTTTGTGGCTGTTTGAAGAGACCATTTTGATAAGTGAACGCTTTATCTGAATAGCTCTTTTTTTTTTAAAACAAATACAGCAAATGCCAAACCAATCAAAAGGTGGATTTGGTGCACACAAACAGGTGGAGATGGATAACCTCTAAGCAGATATGAAAAGTGGAATAGAGTTTTGCTTTAAAAAAAAATACAAAGCTTTTCCTCTATTTAAAAACTCTTAAATTGGAAGGTTCACTTCTGAAAGTGATGAAGACATTTTTAAACGTTTGCAGTTTACTCCCACTTTCCTGGGATTTGGCTTACCATGTCTACCCAAGGGCAAGTGGCTATTCTGTTCACCAGAGTGGGGTTACGTTGGGTAGAAGAAGGAATATGTGCAGTCCTCTGCCCTCTCATTGCCTACTCCACCCTACCTTAGTTCAGCCTTGTCCTGATTGGGGATAGCTGCTGGCTCCCACTCCCCATTCTCAGAGTAGTAACATACAATGTAAACTTTAAAAGCGACTATGAGTAAATTATGTTCAGCTGGAGCCAGATGCATGTGATATACAGCTTAATTAGGCTGGCTACCTAAATCTTGCTTTTGGGTGAGAGACAGAATTCAGAAACAGCATTCATTTTCATAGCCATGGGCATAATTCTGTCGTTGTAGTATATGCTATTACCTCAGCACTTTACAAATAATGAGTCATCACTCTTACATGTTGTGGGTTAGGCTTATAACTGTGCTGTTCGACATATTTGTTCTGGACATAAAACCTTCTGATTGGCTCCTCTTGTTAGAAATGCAGGATCCACTTTGGTGCTAAGGGAGTCTGGGAAAGTTGTGGGGAAGGTTGGCTTGTTGGCGCTGTGTCTCTCTGGACCTACATCCGTCTCACCCCTACCTCTCCATCTTTGGACTCCAGCCTCAGCTCAGTTCTGCAGGTGGCTTCCATATTGCCGGCTTCTGCATTGATTTCGACTCCTTTGGGGGCCTCCATCACAAGAGACCGGGTCGGGGACTCCAACCTGAAATACCCACAAGATGCAGATTAAAAACCCCATTTCATTTTTTTTTTTTTTTTTTTTTTGGTAAATTTGAGAAGCAGTTGCTGCTCAGAGCATTGACACAAAATGGCATTTCAGTATTTGATCAGGAAATCTTTCCAGCTTTGCTTTACAAACCTGGTCAAGTTTTTCAGGGAGGAAGTAACCTATCTGGGCCTTATCTTCATTGCATATTGAAAAGATTGCTGGAAAGGTGTTCTAGGATCCTGGCTTCATTTTATCTTACACCTACTCAATTATTGCTTTATTGGTATAATTAGCCAAATTCTTACATAAGTTTTATTTTTGGAGTAAGGCGATCTCGAGTCTCAACTGCACTTTCTAAAATTGGTAGATATTCCTTCTACTTTGTTGAAAGAAGCAGAATCAGATAGAGTTTAAAAAAGGGACGTAGGAGTTAGGCAGGCCTGACTCAAGCCCTGGGAAGGCCACGCTGTAACCCCGGCAAGACTCTTCGTCCCTTTCCAAAAGTTCTCAAGGGCTCAGTTTTCTCATCTATAAAGTGCCTCAAATGGTGCTTGGAACATTGGAAATGCATTATATGTGTTAACTATTGCCATTACTGCTGTTACTAGTGTTAGTATACCAGCAAATCATAAAGAAATCTCAGGCCTTACTCAACTGGTTGTCAAAAGAAGAGAGGAACAGATCATTGGTTGCTGGGGGATGGAGAGGGTAAGGGATTTGACGGCAAAGGGGCGGCATGAGAAGGAGAGGTTCTCGTGATAGAACTATTCTGTATCTTGACTGCAGTGCTGGTTACATGGCCCCCTGTGTTTGTGGAAACTCACATAACTGTACCCCCAAAGAGCGGATTTTCTTATATGTAATTAAAAAAGGAGAGAAGGTGAATCAGCTATACTCCATGTTAATTATGGCAAAACAGGCTAATACTCCTTAGAAAGATCTTTGCCTAATGCATTTAATGTGAAAAATGTTAACCATGCCCTGAATAGTCTTGATTTTAATATTATTGTCAAAGAGCCGTGGATGAAGATCCTCTTCTCTGTTCACAAAGGAGGTGTCCTAACGTAGGAAGCACAGACTCAGCATGGCTCTCAAACGGCTCTGATTCAGACGAGTTTCCTGTGTTTTATTTGTGTGTCCCCAACTTCCAGACACTTAGAACATGTTAACGAGGAACAACATCCTCTCTGCCAACTGCTGGCTCCCTGTTCTGCTTCCACCACTCCTAACCAACCCTCCTGGGTTTCAGTAAGTGGCAGGAAGAGCTGACCAGTAGGGACACCACCACTGAGCTACCCCAAGCCCCATCCCACAGGTGCCAAGAGACAGCTCTTCACACTTCTCCACAATGTCTGCATTTCCCCTGCAGTGACTCAAGCAGAGTCCCAAAGAGGAACGACAGGTCTATAGTTCTGGTGAAAGACTGGCTTGAGCTTCTGCTGAAATCATTCTTTCCTTTCTGACCTCACCCCTTGTAATGGCAAAAATCCCTCTTCCCTACTGGCTCCTCACAAGACCTTCACCAAGGGGATGCTGAGCTGGGGTGGTTCTGCCTCTAATTATGCTTTACTTCATTTGCATGTGGTTCCTCTCAGGAAACCATCAGTACAAGGGGGGAGGGTCTTGACACCGGAGCAATAGGGAGTGACGTCTGTGCAGTGCAGTCTTGCCTTGGACCTTCATCCAACTCAGTTCAGCTCCTCCCATGCTCTTGATCCTCTCACTTTTGAAACATGAGGTTGCTTTTGTGCTCTTTCCTTTGTTTCTCTCCCACAAAGTCTGGCTGGCTTACACAGTTTATCCTGCATTTTCTAACGTCTTCGGTTTTTACTCAGGTGGATACCTCTTCCCTTCTGGTGTAAGTTTCCCTTCCGGTAAGATTTCTGCTCAGCTCCAACTTTGTTCACCTTCTTCTCAATGGTGCTGCTGTGTCATCCACCCTGCCCAGGTGACAGTCCTCATGCCATCTTCTCTTTCCCCTTCTTCCCTCTCTCATTTGACCAGTTAACTTACAACCTCTCCCTACTCAGTGTACTAACTCATCTCTAACCTGGACTGTTTGAGTGCCTCACACGTTTCGTCTCTCATTCTTCCTTTTTGCCCGTGTACTTCACACAGGAGTCTGTTTCCTGAAGTACATTGGGAATACGTCCCTTCTCTTCTCAGTAGGTGACGGACACTGCGCCAGGTGCTTTATATGTAGTATCTCATTTAATCCTCACAAAAGTCCTATGACTTCAGTACTGTCTTAGTCATGATTGTGCCCACATGGACACAACGGTAAGAGACTTGCCCAGGGTTGTACATCTAGTAAAAGGGCAGAGGCAAGCTTTGAACCCAGGTTTAGCCAGTATGTTATCTACTGCATCTTATCACTTCCAGAAAAATTGGACTTCTTCCCTGTTTATCGTATCTTCACACTGTTCTTTGCACTTAAAGGCCACCTCTTCATGGAATTAGTGCCTGTATTTCCAAAACCAGTATCTGTCAATAAGGGTAGGGTGTCAGTACTGCGTATGGCTCAGTGATGCAGACTTCCCAGTACGCAATATTTCTCAAACTCTAACTGATATCAGTGACATCAAATTCAGGATAGGGTGAATGTGTCCATACTGGGTATATAGCACTCACACTGAATGATTCATACAGAAAGAGAGCTGGGGTAAAAAAAGAGCTTGACGTAGAAAAAAAATGTACGGAGCTAGGAGAACTTTATCGGATGAAGCACTGGCATTTCAGACGGGCATTAGAATTCACTTACTCTTGTTCACTTCTGTGGGCTCTGAGATCAGCAGGAGGGCTCCAGGGCCAGAGAAGTAGCTTCAGAATGACTGCTGTCTTTTTCCCCCCTTCTCAGCCTTGGAAGTACTAAGTTGCTGACAAAGGGAGCTACTCTGAAACTGTCTGCTATTGTGAAAAGCTACAATAAGGTAGAAATGACAATTTCCTGGAAGCAGAGACAAAAAGGTAACTGTTTCCCAGCCTATCTTAACGTCTTTTGCTGTTAGGCAGACTTAATAGTTTGTTAAGATAGATATTCCTTACTGTTAATGTTCATCTTCCCATTGTGGAAAAAAGCTCCTACAAGAGCCCTGTGGGGCCTGCACAGAGCAGGAGGAATGCTCCTGTGATGTCAACTTCTGACCCTAGATAACCAGTCACAGCACAATGGCTAAAATGGCCTTGAGCAAGAAAAAAATGGAGGAGGCTCCCTTCTGATGGAGGGCAGCTGAGGGTCCTGCTGGCTCTTGGCAAGGAATACTGCTTCCATTAGAAGAGAGTGCAGCCCTCTTACGGGAGGACTGGAAAAGACTCAGAATGGAATAATGACCAGGCAGGGAGGCCCTGGGGTTGGGCCAGGTCCTCAACAAGAGTTCTCGAAGGTGAGCATCAGGATCCCCCGGAGGGCTTGTTAAAACACAGACTGCTGGCCTCGACCCCAGAGTTTGGATACAGTAGATCCAGAGTGGGGCCTAAACACTTGCACTTGTGGCAGGTTGAAGCTGCTGGTTCTGGAACCACACTTTGAGAACCACTGTTCTAAAGCAAAGGTCATAAGCTCAGGTGCCCACAAAGACAAGACAGGTGCTGTAAATTAGTGACCCATAAGGAAGCTGTGAGGAAAACAGTCTCTGGACAATAATACATGGCAAGTGATGGAAATGCTTTCTACAGGGGGCAGCTTCTATTCTAAATTTGGCTGATTACTGATGACCTTAGTCATGTCCTGAGCTCCTTTTCCTCTTCCCACCATTTCCTTTTCTCAAGAGTAACTACTATTATGAATTTTGTGTTGACTGTTTTCTTGCTTCCCTTTATAATATCACTACAGGTTTGCCTCCTCATACAATACATTGTTTACTGTTGTGTGTTTTTGAACTTGACGTATAGAACAATCCTACTTAGGTATTCTCCAGTGACTTTCCCACCTCAACATTATATTCCTGAAATGCCTCCATGCTGTAGCACATAGCTGTAATTTATTCAGTCTCCTTGGCATTCTCTATTGTGATTTGTCCATCCCTCTGTTGGACATGTGGGTTGCTTCCAGGTTTTTGTTTCCATAAACAGTACATCTATGCATATTCTGCATGTGGTTCCTGGTACAAACATGTAATTTTCTTTAGGACGCATATGTGAAGAGCGGGATTGTTGGCTCCTAGGGTATGTGTAACTACAGCTTTATTAGATATAAGTTGTGCATAGGAGTGTATGGTATACAGTTCCCACTAGTATTATATAGAGTTCTGGTCATTCTACTCTCTTGCTAGCATTTGATAATATTTTAGTATGAAATGAGTGTGAGATGGGATGCTATTGTCTTTTAAATTTACATTTCCCAGATTAGTAATGGAGTTAAGCATCTTTTCATTTGTTTGTAAACCATTTGGGATTCTCCTTCAGTGAAATGTCTTTTGTCCATTTTAATTGTTTTTATTGTTGTTATTTTGTGTGTGTGAATTTTAATAGTACTTTATATTCTGAAAAATAATTATTTAGCATTTCTATGTGCTTACAATTTCCTTTTCGAGTCTGTGGTTGTGTCTTTTCACTCTGTGCTTAGCGTCTTTTCAAGAATGAAGTTTTACATTTTAATGGTGACAAATTTATGATCTTTTCTCTAGGGTTTGTGTTTTCTGTGTCTTATTTGAGCAATCCTTCTATACATTGAGGTCATAAAGATATACTGTTTTCATGACTTTCAAGTTTTGCTTTTTCATTAAATCTCTAATTCATCAGGTATTACTTTTTGTGTGTGATCTGAGGTTGGGGTCGAAACAGATGTGGATGCACAATCTCATCATACATTTAAAAGTCCTTATTTGGCTCCATCATATGGCAGTGCCATATACCTATGGGTCTCTTTGGGGGCTTTCTAGTCTGTTTCACTATTCTATTTGTCTATCCCTGTGACAATAAGTAGTTATTTTAGCTTCCTTATTACAGTTTTAAAAGACTTTTTTAAAGTCTTTTATTTCATAAGGCAAATCCTC